TCTATATGAGGCAATAACACTAGAACTTGCTAGAAAATAGATAGGTCGTGAGAGTGTAGGGGGCTCAGGGTGGGGTTGGGGAGGGCGTTGCAAGGACAGGCACATTATAAGCTGAGAGAAGCAGCAAGTTAAACGAATTTCAAATGGCTAATTGACTGGTGACACCCAAAGGGTACTGATTACTTAATGCAGTAACCTGCAAAAGAGTTGTCTCCATAGCCTGGTAGCATCAGGATTTCTTTGAATGGCCTACAAGATGGTATTCCCGGCAAGACATAAAGTTACGGCTACAAGAGAAGCTATGACACTGAAGATGCAATGGGATCCTCCAAAAGTTTTCATACACATTTACAAAGGGCTGAATCTAAAATGGTTAAATATAAGTGGGAGGTTCTGCCTGGACCACCTTCCCCCCAATAGTTTAGTGGCTCACAATCTTAAAATAAGAGCCATTGGTATAATGTGGTTACCAAGAAAAGCCAGGTAATGTGATCTTAAGTATTAGAAGTACAAGATCAAAACAGGAGGAACACCCCCTCCCCCCGCCCCAACCCAAATCTCCAGAAGTGTGTCTGTCCCAGAACACAAAGTTTTAGAGAGACAACCTGGGGCATGCCCCTACTTACCCAACCTAGATGGAAAACAACATGGAAACTGACATACTGAAGCTGAAAGAACTGAAGCTGATTGGTCTTAAAAAAGAAGTCCGGGGAGGGGGATAAGGGTGGAAAGAAAGGGAAGGGTCAAGTCAAGGAACTTGTCTAAAGGACCCATGGACAAGGACAACAGGGGGAGGTGAGAGGATTCAATGTGGGAGGTGGGGGGTGGGTAGGGCAGGGCAGAGTAATGGGGGGAAAATGGGGACAACTGTAATTGAACAATAATTAAAAAAATAAAGAAGTCTGGTTAGAGACCAGATGAATGTCTTTAAGGAGCTGGAGGGCCGTCCCATGACAAAGGGCATACATTATTCTGTGCTGAGCTGAAGGGAAGAACTAAAATCAATGTATGAAAGAGTAATGTATAACTTAGAGCTTAATACAGGGAAGAAGCTTCTAACAATTTCAGTGTCTGAAAATAAAACTGGACCAACCCCCCAACTCTCCATTAGGTAGTATCAATAGTAGGATTCAAGTATCAATAATGGGATGTTAACAAGGATTAGCATGCTACAGGAGATTGGCCTAGAGGATTTCTAAGGTCCTTTTCCTCAAAGAATCTGAATATATGGCCTCTCTTGGATAAGAAGGCCTACCATACCAACTCGGCATTCTCAATGGCTCCCTTCCCATTCCAAGAACTCTTTTTGGACTTACTTTCCCCTTTGCCTGGAAGCTTTCCGCCAGGCCCTTTGAATGGCTGCGTCCATGCATCTTCCAAGGCTTAAGATTAAATGTCACTTATTCAAAGGGGTCCTCTCTGGTTACATTATCCAAAGCGGGCCTGCCACTTACTCTCCTTAATTCCACCTGGTTACAGGCATACGTCATCTCATTGTGCTTTTGCACTTCACAGATCCTTCATGATTGAGGGTCTCACTTTACTGCAGTGGACTGGAATTGAACCCGCAATATCTCTGAGGTACACCTGTATTTCTTTTAGAACACTGAGCACTAAGCACAATTATTAAAGTCCATCAGGTCAGGAACTGTCTTACCCAGTATTGTATCTCCAGTACCCTCTAGTGTCTGCCATGTGGTAGGTGCTGTATAAATTGTTGAACTTACATTCCCTAAGTCAATTAAATGTTAGGAGGTCATCTTTCCCTAGTCCCTGAACATAAGTCTACTCAGAAGAGAAAGTATACTTCCAACTCTCCCTTTCAATCAGATACATGTGTGCATGTATGCCACACACAGAGAAAGACAAAAATTAAACTTGATGTGGTTTTAGAGAAAACTGATGAGGAATGACACTAAAAATAGACATGGAGAATGTCTATGTCTGAACAAAAAACTATGGGGGACTAGTCTAGCTGCATTCTAGCAATATCAATGCAGTTATCACTGTGACCTTCTTGTGTTTTCACTTACAATGACCCTATTAAACAACAATTATTCATGAAATTACATGGGCCAGAAAACTCATTACCATTAACTGTTCTAAAGTACATTTCACAGCATTAAACTACTTCCAAATATTCTGAGCCTTCATGACTTGTTTATGTATTGGGGCCATGTCATCACAATAAAAAAAAATACTAGGGTGAACATTGCTTACACAAAGGTAACTGCAGGATCTGCGCAACCCAGACCCTCCTGCCATGAAAATAGGCCTCTTCCGCCATTTTACAAAGTAGGAAATTCTTCAAGTATTCATTAATTACGTGCAGGTAGGTTTCAGTAACAAAATTTTTAAATGCAAAGAACCTCAGGAAAGTTAGATTTTTTGACAACTGTGGTCTTTGTGAGGATCAAATAAGATACCGTAGGATTTTTTCGTGTTTCTAACACACTAATCGAAAATAGGTCATTTTCTTTCCGTCACTCTCAGACTATTCCCAGTTAACGGCACCACCAACTCAATTAGCCGGACTTAAAATCTTGGTCACCTTCCTTGCACGTACCCCTCATTCATCAGCTGTCAAGGCCTCTGGATTTTAAGACTCAAACTCTCCATCTCTCTGCACGCTCTCTCTACTGCAATAGCTTAAGTAATGAACACCCTGCAGGAGCCATCCAATATTCAGAAGCACCTTCTTAAAACACACTACGGATGTTGCTCTTTTGCTAAAATATTCTCTGCTGACTACAAAATAGTTTAGATACTTTTGCTTTATATTGATTCCCTCCCCTCACCAATTTGGTCCCAACGTCTCTGTTAAGAAATATTTTATTTTATTTTTCAAGTATAGTCTACACTGAATACCACTAGTTTCAGGGGTAGAGCAGAGTGGCCAGAAAATCATGTCCTTTGCGGTCATCCCCCGATGCTCCCAGCACTCACCTGACTGACTATATCCCTCATCTGTAACCCCCATCTCCAGGACTATTTTCCAACTTCTTTTTTTTTAGGCTTATCTCTCAGCAACAGCTACATATGCCAAGAGCCCCATATTCACACGTATCGGAAAACACATGTATTACCCTTCTGCCTGTAACTGTATCTGTTAAAACTACCCCAGAATCCAGTTTAAATGCCCCATCTTTCATGTCTGAATTAACTCCACATTACTTGATTACATCATAATTTTAATACAGAATAGTATTTAAACTAAAAGAAAAAAAAACAAAAGCTGTGCGCATCAGTCTTTAACATTAAAGTTCACTGCAGCTAAGGGAAAAACTTAGGCTCATTTCTTGAATCTTTTGCTATTTGACTTTTAATATATAATTTAATTAAATAGAGAAAATACTTTAATCTGCTTGCTTTCTGAGAAAGGTTTTCAGTGAGGGTAAATAAAGACGACGTGACAGTACTAGATGTTTAGGAAAAATGTAGCCACTGGGCCGTGTAATGGGCAAATGCTAGTCACTCTACACAACTATCTTATAAGGTAGGTTAAAATTATCCCACCCCCCTTATTTTACAGTTCTTATGTAACAGTTCTTAAGAAACACGATCATTTCAAAATGAAATTTCCTCTAGAAATATACAAAATTATGCAGAGGTACATTTCAGGGTTATAAATGCTCGTCAATAGGAAAAAGATTACTTCTATTGTATTTCCCTGTCAAGTCAACGGAGCAAGCATACTTGTAATAAACACCCTCTTTTTTAGAGATGAAAAAGTACAGGTTTCAAGTGATTAAGTGCCTTCCACGTAACTTCTAAGATTTGATGACCCAAGGTTACACAGCTATTCAGCTGTGGAGCAGGACTGGAACCCAGGCAATCGAACTCCAGAGGAAACAAAACAAGATAAGGTTCTCTACTCTGCAGGAACTCACATTCGCATAGGGGCGGAAATAAACAATAATACAATAGATTAAAACATTTCATTTCAAAGTGACAGATAACGGTTCACACGCAAAATACCTTTCATAGCAGGTACTCAGCTTAAGCTCAGAACTGCTATTACATCTTTCCTGCTCCCAGTGGAAAGGGCGGATTACTTGTAATGATCCTTCCGGAACGCCAAGAATGTGGAAGTGTACGGAGGAGAGGGGGATTTTTACCTCGATTTATCTCCAGCTACGCAAGATGAAATACCTACCATCTTAGCGAGTATTTAAAGAGAAAGATATTTGTAATCAGCAATGGCTTACAAAGGGATTTTTATCAAGGAAGGTTAGCAAGGTAGGTTGTAACAGGTTCAAATTCCTGAAATTTACTGAATACTTTTCATCATTTCCTGCAAATCCCTATCATGAGCCCCTCCGCCTGCCTCCAAATCACTGAGCATCAGGGGGCACCTCAGTAACAGAACTTCCCATATTGTGGGATTAGAACCTGTTTCAGGGGGGAACTACAATCAACCAGGTACCTGGGAGACATGGGTTACCAGTTCTGTGCCTTCCCGACCTCAGTTTCATCCGCAAATTAGCACTAATTAGGATGGCTAAATGGATGAGTGTTTCACAAATATTAATAATTTAAATGCGATCGAGCTGATTACTTCAGGAAAGCCCCTCAAAATCCTCACAAGAGCACATCCTTCATCATTCATCTCAAGCGTAAGCCCACAATTTCTCCCGGCTCCCTCCAGCTCCCACCAAGGTCACCTGAGAAGAGTCCTCTATGTCTCACCCCGCTTCCCCTCAGAGCGCTTTCTCCCAAAGTCAGCACCCACCAGTAGTCTTCGGAAAGCCACGCGTGAGGAAGCCCCCGAACCCAAGTCGAGTGCCAAGGCAGCGGCTAGACAGAACGGTCACCGCAGTGACCGAAGCTCGCTGCAGTAAGCTCATAGCCGCCATGGCTACTACGGGCAATAGGAAAAACGGGGGGGAGTAACGGGAGCCGAGATAGCCCATTTACCATCGAGGGCAAAGCCGTACGGCGGCCATGTTGCGTAAGGGCAAAGGCTGTTTCGTTTCTCTCTTTCCGGTGGGAGTGAGACACAGGAAGTGATGTCATTAATGGCGAAAACGCGGTTTGCTTACGGGAAAAAATGGCTGCAGCCAGTTTAGTTAGTCTTTGCAGAAAAGCGTCAGTCATTTTGAAGACTTCCAGGTCCTTAATAAGTTCTCAGGTCCCTGCTGGCACAGGGTAAGTTATGTGAGCAGTAGATGTGTATACCTGTCCACCTTTGGGTCTTGTTTGTTTGCAGAGATGATAACAGCTCAAGGATGGAAAGGCCCCAGGGTTGGCTTGGGCATGAACCCAACTCTGTAAAGAATGAGTGACTTTGTACAGGTCGCTCACCGGCGACCTTTACGTCCCTAACTCATTTTGTTGCCACTTACTGCGGACTAGTCAGTACATGAGGTCTGTCGGTGCCCAGAATTTGTTGAATTCAAACTAGAGGTATAGAAGTATCCCGTTTGGCTGGGTGACTTGGGAAAACTTCATTGAAGAGCTTTTGGTTGTGCAACTGAAGGCTGTCCCGGGCTTGGATGGATAAAAAAGAAGAGCTTTATTGCTCATGGAATATGTCACAAAGAGATTGTTCAGTAAATGCTGAGTGAATAAATGAAAGTAGCCAAGTAAATGAAAAGTTGCTCTTGCAGGTGGGAGGAAGGAACATCCTATACATGGTGTTCATTATTTCCGGAAAGTCAGCTTATCATTTTTGACTTTAGAGTGGATAGTTTCCTCCCTTTTACTGGCTTTTGTCTGTAAAGATTTGAATTTTGTAGATAGTTGCATATGTCCAATTTTTTTTTTCATAAAAGGACGTAGTGTTTGTGCTCTTGAATCCAGCACCGTTATTGAGCTTCTCTTATGTTACAGAATTATTGCATACACTAACTGAAGAGATAAGCAGTGTTTTGTGTTTTGTTTTGTTATTTTTTCATTTTGCAGAGGCTTAGAGGTTGTAACCTGATCACAAGGTGGTAAACTTGAATCAGTTGTCTTTCCATTTAGTTTTACTTTTTCCTTAATTAATTTTAGATTTTATTATTATAATAAAATACGTTCATTTGCAGACAGTTTGGAAAGTAAGATATTTTGAAGAAGAAAGTAAAAGTCAATTATAATTCCACTACTCAGAGATAAACACATTTCTCTTTTTAACCTGCCATATATACACATACATGTAATTTTATTGATTGATTGATTGATTTGAGAGAGAGGGACAGTGATCTGTTGTTGTTTGTTTATGCATTCATTGGTTGATTCTTGTATGTACCCTGATCAGGGCTCAAACCCACCCACAACCTTGGCTAATTGGGTTGACCCTCTAACCAACTGAGCTACCTGGCCAGAGCCCACATAGATGTAATTTTAAAATAAAATCAGGACTGTATTTACATATATGCATTCTTGTGCTACCCTTGTTTCCTCAACTTTTTATTTTAAAAAATTTCAGATGAACAGAAAAGTTTTAGGAGTAGTACCTAGAATAACCATGTACTCTTTATCTATATTAATTAATTCTTAGCATTTTGTTACATTTTTCTTTATCTGCTTATACCCATAAGTGGTTTTTTTTTCCCCTGAACTTTTAAAAAAAATCCTCACCTGAAGATATGTTCATTGATTTTAGAAAGAGAGGAAGGGAGAGAGGAAGGAAGAGAGAGGAACAGAAACATTGATGTGCAAGAAAAACATAAATCAGTTGCCTTCGTACGCACCCTGACTGGGGATTGAATAGCATCCTAGGTATGTGCCTTGACAGGAGTTGAACCCACGACCTTTTGGTGTACCAGGCAATGCTCCAAAGAACTGAGCCACCTGGCCAGGGCTTTTTCTGAACTGTAAGAATTGCAAACATCATGACACTTCAGCTTTTGTCTCCTAAGAATAAGAACAGTGTCTTAACCACAATACTCCAGTAATCACATTGGGGAATTTAATATTGACATGCTACTATTACTCCACTGCTGTTATCTAGCATATAGCCCAAATTCAAATGTTGTCAATTTTCCTGGTAATTTTTTTCTTTATTAATTTTTTATTCAGGGTCCAAACAATGATTGTTTTTTGCATTTATTGTCATGTCTCTTTAGTCTTCTAAAATCCAGAGTGGTTCCTTTTTTTTCTTTCATAACATTGACATTTTTAATAAGATCAGCTTTTTTAGAATATCCCTCCATTTGGGTTTGCCTGAATGTTTACAAATGATTAGGTTCAGGTTAAATTTTTTTGGTAGGAATACAACAACACTTGGGACACACTTCACTATTGTATTTTAAATTATTTATCTAGGCCATTAAATATTTGAAAACCTAAGTTTAAAATTACTGCATAACATATTTTCATACAGACACGCAATTTTTTAAACCTTCCATGGTTGCATGGTTTACATTATCAACTTTTTTATATCATATACGAGTATAATGATAGTGCTTAATAGATATTTAAATTTATCAGTTCTCATTTATGTTCATTTCTTTAGTTGAAATTTCTAGATGTGGACTTAATGGGTTAAGGGAAGAAGCATTGCGGTCTCTAACACATGCTGAAGAATTAACCTTCAGAATATATTTAATCTACTCATAACCCACTAAAAGTTTATGAAAGACCTACAAATGTTACCTTGAAATATTATTATGTAAATATACTGCCTCTGAAATTACAGGGTAGCAACATCTACAATGCAATATTTTAAATAAATTCTAAAGTATTTTATAAGTTTATTGTTTCTTGTGCTGGAACCATGAGTACATTTTTTAACATTGTCGATGAGGAAATGATTCCATTTATTGCTTATAAAATTCAAATGTTGTAAAACTTAAATAACTTGTTTCTGTATGTTCTATTGTAGGTTTTCTCTTAATTTGTTACCCAAGAATACACCAAATGTCACATCCTTACACCAGTGTAGAATACTTCATACCACATTGTCAAGGAAAGGACTAGAAGAATTTTTTGATGACCCAAAGAATTGGGGGGAACAAAAAGTAAAATCTGGTGAGATATTTGGGTTGATTAGTAATAAATATATTTATTGAAGCATCCATCATTTTGGGATTATTTATCCAGTTTAGGAATTACTTGGGTGTTTCCATTTTCAGTTTCCTTTGGGAAAGTCTATCAGTGAAAATTAAAAGAACAATATAATAGACTTAATTGTTCCTTGGCAGCTTGGGAAAAGGTTTAGAAGAGGAGTGCGCTGAAATTTTTTACTGAATTCATGTGTGGGGTTTATTTTAGATCTTATTTTTTAGAGATAATTGAGAATTAATTTATAATGATATAAAGTATTTTGACATTAGACTATAAAGATACGTGCTATAGTTATTCTAACATTTTTGATTGCTATTGCCAGTCTTATTACTCATACACTCATATGTTATCTAATTTAATCCCAGTTATATTTTATACTGTAATATAATAAAGCTGTTACATATTTTACAGACAAGGAAACTGGTTTAGGGAGGTTAAATAATTTGCAAAAGGGCACATAGCTGGAAAACTTTTATGTTATGAATTTATCGTTTTAAAAGGAGCCGCATGGACCTGTCAGCAATTAAGGAACAAAAGTAATGAAGATTTACATAAACTTTGGTAAGTATACCAAGTTCATGAATATCTAGTGTCTGAAGCAGTTACAGTATAACAATGAGGTATAAACTTTATGTAATGGTAAGAAATTGAGTAAAGTAGTTTGTTTCAAAGGACTGTGAATGTTATATAGGACTATTAAAGATTTTATAAATATGACAGGTTAAACTATATTAAGACAAGTGTACCAGAGTTCTCAAGTAGTTGGGCATGTAGAAGTTTTACTATAGTTGCTACCAGTCATACTATACCTATACTAACAATTTCAGTAAACTAGTGAAATGGAGAAAAGTTGATCACATTTAGGCCTTCCTCCGTTTTACTACATTTTGCATGGTCTGAAATCTCTATCTTATTTGCTTTTGGGAAGTGTGTTGGAGGATGCATTTAATTGGGAGTTTAAGTAGATTGTCTGGCAGTTTCTCCTGATGAATTAGAGCGGGAAAGATTTAAGACAGGGTTTTATTTTTAATTGACACCATATATATATATATTTATTGAGGTAGATTTGATGTACTGTTATATTAGTTCCAGGTATACAATGTACTGATTCAATATTTGTATATATTGCAAAGTGATCATCACAATAAGTTCAGGTAACGTCCATCACCATGACATAGTTCGAATTTCCTTCCCCCCGTGATGAGAACTTTTGAGATCCACTTTCGCAGCTACTTTCAAATATGCAGTACAGTGTGATTAACTGTAGTCCCTGTGCTGCACGTTACATCCCTGTGACTTGCTGATTTTATAACTGGAAATTTGTATGTTTTCACCTCCTTCACCCATTTTGCCCACCCTCCCCCCAACATTAACTGACAATACTTAGTCAAAGATACGTTTCGTTTGGACTTTACTATGGTTTTTAAATTGGGTATTTCACACAAAAATAAAGCTGTCTGGCTCCTCTTTAAGAATCAGGCCTCTGATCTGGCAGCATTGGATCCACATTCCTCCGTCTGGCCGGCCTGCGTAGCCACTGCCTGATCCAGGTGGGTCAGCGCCCACCACTTCTGCCCCATCCTGTGGCTCTTTTACTAAGCCTACCTACCTTCCTCATAAGTGTGATTCTTTAATTATTTTAAATTAAATAACCACTGATAATACAGGTTTGTCCTGTGATACAGTAAGAAATATTTGGTCTTTCTCTCCATGCATTGACCCACAGCTTCTAAATCCCCTGGCATTTCCTGAATAATAGATCTTTTGTTCAAATCAGGCAACTCTTGGGTAAGGGGCACCTCAGAACGGAGCTTGGTCACCAGAAAGACCAAGGCATGATTAGAGGGTGGAACTTCCAGGCATGCCACCACCCTCACCTCTGGGGAGGGGTGGAGGTACAGGAGGCGGAGGTCAGTCACGAGAGGTCAGTGGTTCAATCGACTGTGTGTACATAACGAAGCCTCCAAGTTGGTGAACACGTGGAGGCGCTGGGAGGGTGGCATAGCCCCAGAAAGCACGGAAGCTCCGCAGCCCTTTGCGTGTGCCTTGCCCTGTGCAGCTCTTCTATTTGGCTGTTTCTGAGTGGTATCCCTTGTAACAAACCAGTAATAGTAAAATGCTTTCCTGCATTCTGTGAGCCATTCTATCAAGTTATCGAACCTAAGGAGGGGGTCACTGGAACTCCCACTTTGTAGCTGGCCAGTTGGATATATGGTAACCCTGGAACTTGCTCCTGACATCTCAACTGGGGGATAGTCTTGTGGGGCTGAACTCTTAAATCTGTGGGATCTGGTGCTAACTCCAGGTAGTTAGTGTCAAAGAGTTGGGGAAGCGGTATTGGAAAAGACAACACATTTGGTCTCATTTTGGTGCCAGAAATGTTATGTGTAAAACAGCACAAATTTATTGTAGAAAAAATAAGCTGTATTAAAAATAAGGTTTGTAAGTTGTGCCAAAAGCACTGTTACTGTGAGTTATTAGTAAAGGAGAGTTAGGGCTATTTCAATATAATGGCAAAAAACTAAGCACTTTATCTCTTGCCGCTGCTTTCCCCCAAATCGTCTCCTTCCATAGCATAAAGTACCTCCGTTCCTTTGTCTCCTGTTCAGTGCCCTCCATATTTATTTCCTTTCCTTTTTTCCAGCTCTACTTCTTAATCAAACAGTGATTCACAAAGCCTACCTTCACTTCAGCTTTGCCACTCAGTACCTTTGATTTGCTTTGCTTTGCTTTCCTTCCAGTCTGGCAAATCCCATCTCTGTGAAGCTTTTCTGGATCATCTTAACTAGAGGAAACATCTCCTCTCTCCCACTTAATTCTTCTGGTTCTTGTTGTCACTGCCACTCGGTATTCCGAATCATATTGCAGTTTTGGAGTCAACCTAGGAGAGTAAAAATAGAACAGGTTTTGTACTCAGGGAGTCCAGGATTTGAATCTTGAATTAGCTATGTGCTCCAGAGTGTCCTGCTTCTCTCAGCCTCAGTTGCTTCGTTTAGAAAGTAGAAATAATGCTAATCTCAAAGGGTTGTAGGAATTAAATGAAACTTACATAAAGTGTTTTGCACATTGCCTAGCATACAACAGGCACTGAATAAATGTTATTTTCCATGTTCTCTCTCCACTTGTAATGTAGGGATTATATTTTATACTTTTTTTTTTGTAATTGGCACGTAATACAATATATGGCACATGGAAAATTTATTTAACAAATGAATAAGAATAGATACAGCTCTGTTTAAAGGATTTTTCTTTGTAATGATACTCTATCAAGATTTCTACAAGACTTTTGAGAACAGATCATTAATTTTGATGTCAAAAATCACTTTATTAATGTTATCACAAGATAGCATCACAGGCTTTGTGTTCTTTGATATAGGTATGTCCTACTGAAAGAAAGAAATATGCTTCTGACCCTACAGCAGGAGGCCAAACGGCAGATATTACCAATGCCAAGTCCGGAGCGGTTAGAAAAGGTGAGGCCCTGCGAGGCTGTCATGCGGGGTACAGTTAACAGGAGTGAGGGTAGGGTTCCTGTATTTCCTGGCAACTAGATTTTTTCCGTTTCTGCTTCTGCTTGATTTTTAGTAAATTTACAGAGTTGTGTTGCCATCACTACTGTCTAATTTTAGAGCATTTCTGTCACCTCAAAAAGGAACCTCATGCCCATGTGCAGCCACTCCCCATTTCTACCTGCAGCCCCCAACGTATGTGTGGACGTGTGTTTTTGCTTCTGGATAGACACCTAGGAGTGAAATGGCTGAGTTGTATGGTAAATCTCTGTTTAATATTTTAGGGATCAGCAAAACTCTTTTCTAAAGTAGAAACCGTTTTACATTTCTAGTTCTAGCTTAGCCACTTCCTTGCCCACTATGTCAAATTTTATTTATGCATTTTTTTATTGTGGTAAAAACATAACATAAAATTTACTGTCTTACTCATTTTTAAGTGTATAGTAAAGCAGTTAAGTATATTTACATTGTTGTGAGAAGGTCACTTTTTTGTAAATTAGGGGTTTTTTTTTTCACCATTTAAAAAAAATCCCTTGGGTTCCTTATTTCTTTTCCCAGAGGTAGTCAGTCATATGTGTGTCCTATTTACCTACCAGAAGTTTTCTCTGCATCTAAAATCTGAGCTAAATAGGTTTTCATTTAAATGAAAGTAAACTTTTAAAAAATTACAAAAAGTAATATTACAGATACTCATGTATACCGGTACCAGCAAAGGTTTTTAGGAAATTTTTGACAGAATGATTCTTTGACAAAAATATTCATATAGGTTTTCTGTAGCATAATCTTTATATGTCCCCTTTCTTTGGAATTCTGTTGTAGGTGATTGTTGAAATTATATCTTTCTCTTCTCTTCTCAGGTAGTAGAGTCCATGGACGCATTAGATAAAGTCGTCCAGGAACGAGAAGATGCCCTAAGACTTCTTCAGACAGGTCAAGAAAAAGCTAGACCTGGTGCTTGGAGAAAAGACATCTTTGGAAGAATCATCTGGTACATAGTTTACACTGTGGCTTTTCTAAGGCTAGAGTGGAAGTCCCATACCTCTACCCCATCCATTATCTTTAAGAAAATGCTCATTGTATAAAGTGTATTAGATAGACTAGAGATATATCTAAAATAAACAGAGGTCCCAAAACCTTTTGGAATTCCAGGAGATGAACAAAGGTAGATTTAACCAGTAGTCCAGGGATCCCATTCCCATGATTCTATTATCTAAAAGTACTTGATAACAGTGGTTCTTAACCTCATGCGGATCATATGGTCTTTGAGGATTTGATGAAAGTTATAGATCCTTTCCCCAGGAAAAATGTATATGTGTACATGTAATTCATAGGGTTATAAATGCCATGAAGCCTATTCTAGGACACACACCTGTCTTCTTTGCCCGTTAAGAACGTGAGACTATTAAAAAGTTTTTGAGGATTAAGGCCACATGAACCAGGAGCAGCCCTAGTCCAAGTTATGAAACAATTTAATCTTGCCTCCTAAGTCCAGTTCCTGAAGTCCTACCAGAGCCTGGGAAAAGAGCTGATGATAAACATTTATAACGAGATATAAGTAACTGAGAAGACCCAGTGTCTTCTGTTTCTGCCAGGCGTTTATTTACATTCAGGTTGAGCTGCCAAAAGGAAACATCGTTAATGGAATTGTAAGCATTGGTCAGCAAAATGGAGAAGGCACTTTGGGTGGTTGGAGACCTTCTCTGTATTTTTGAAATTACATCACATCATAGCACTTACTCATTTGATGAGTTCTTTAATGGAGTTTGGGGTGATGGGCTGCTTGGAGCCACGTTGAGGGGACTAGCTGTGCTGTCTTTAACCATGAAATCCAATACAGAAAAGAGATAAATTGCTAAAACATCTGACTAAAAACTCTGACCTCTTTTATTTTCTACTAATTCTCATTTGGATTAACCCAACTGAGGTCAGTTAGGAAAGGTGGGGATAAGGAGGGACTCTGTCAATTTTAGAATTCTCTTATGAATGCTCTTCTCTTCAAAGGTTTTTTATTTTGCTTTTGATTCATTGACAACATATTTAGTCCAAAGAAGGCTAAAGCTCTGTATCTGTTTGAAAATGTTTAAATATTTTCTAAAAGATGATGCCTTTTTCCCTTCTTGGCAGGCACAAGTTCAAGCAGTGGCCTATACCTTGGCACCTAAATAAGAGATACAATAGGAAACGATTCTTTGCGATGCCCTATGTGGACCATTTTGACAGGTAAGCACAAGCGCCCTTTCTAATGAAACAGCTTTACATCAGATGACATCAAGCTTTTACATGAATAAATACGTGTTCATTGTAGGAAAAAAAACAAACCCAGAAAAACCAGTTAAGAGAGAAATTAGTCTTGAATAATCTCACCATCCAGAAATCGCTGTTAACTTTCTAGTGTATATCCTTTCAAAAGTTTTATTGCCTTTCTGTTCTTTGATCTATATGTTAAGTAGATGGTTAAGTTTTTTTGTAATGTTAAAAGGTCCAGATACTGTAGTTGCATAAAATGTGAGCTAATGTTACTGCAAGATTGATGAAATTAATCCCCAAAACTTCCACTGGAAGGGAAAAGAATTGCAAGTGTGTTGTTACCAGGGGAAGGGTGCCGCTCACCTCCATGGCTGTGGCTGCCAAAAGCACCAGCGTGGGGAATCTGCGTGGCATGGCCTAAAGGTTCCGGAGATCCGAATTCAAGGCAGGAAAACAGCTGGACATTTAAAGAGGAAATCCTAGCAGCACAAGAACCACAGCTTTTAATAACTGTCATAGATAATGTGTTTTACTTTTGTTAAAAGTTCTTTAAAAACTGACTTCCCTAAAGGCTTATTTCCATACCCCAAAATTAAAAACTTAAAAAAAAATTTAAACAGGAATATACATCTTTAAACTCATCTTTAAATTACTTTAGTATGCTTTATAATCACAGTTTAAATTTTTTATCTACCCCACCAAACCAGCAACTTCTTCTTATAGTTTTATCTGTTGTGGTGATGTTGTGATTTATAATAAGAAATATGTTTACTTTGCCCATTTCTGTCAGAACTCCGAAAACATTTAAGTAATGTCAGAAAAAATTAAAAAGAAAAGCTGTCTTTTATGTTAATGAATGACTTTTGGAAAGCACCTAGGGTTGGGAGCTGGTTGCCAAGGGAACCAACCTTGATCAGATGATTGAAATTTTCAATTGCACCCCCCAATTTCTGGGGAAGGGGAAAAGACTGGGGGTTGACTCAGTTGTCAATGGTCAATAATTTAACCAGCTGTGCTTATGTGATGGAGCCTCCATACAAAGAAAACCCCAAAAGGATAGGGTTTGGAGAGCTGGTTGGATGAACACTTGGAGATTTGGGGAGAATGGTGTGCCTCAAGAGGACATGGAAACTCAGCCCTTTCCCCAGACCTTGCCCTATGTTTGTCATTTGTCTGGCTGTTCCTGAGTTACATCCTTTTATAACAAATTGGTAATCTAGTGTGTAGATGGGTTGCCTGAGTTCTGTGATCTGCTCTGCTAATTAATCAAACCCATGGAGAAGGTTGTGGTAACCTTTGATTTATAGCCGGTCAGTCAGAAGTACAGGTAACAACCTGGACTTGGCTGATGTTTGAAGTCCAAGGAGGGAGTCAGCCAGAAGTTCAGGTGACAGCCTCTGACACGGCCTATGGGAAGGCCGTGTCAGAATTGCATTGAATTCTCAACACTCTGGTGGTTGTGGATTGCTTGGTGGTGGTGTGGGAAACCCCCATTCCCACTGGAATTGGATCCAGAACCCCTTTATTGACAGTACATCTATTATTGGCCTATATTAAATGTTATTCATCCTCTTCAACACCAGTGCTCTAGATTCAGTCCTTAATTTCATTCTTCCTGCAAAATGTCTCCAAGGATCTGTCTCTTAGTCCCACTCACTCCACCTCAGAGTACAGCCACTCTCCATCATGTTGAATTGTTGAACATCTTCCTTACTCGAGTCCATTCAGACATTGCTTCCTAATTTTCCTCAAACCTTTTTTTTTTAAGATTTTAAAAAATTTACTTATTTTTAGAGAGAAGGGAGAGCAGGGAGAAACATCTATTGGTTGCCTCTTGCATGCCCCCAACTGGGGACCAGGCCACAACTCGGGCATGTGCCCCGACTGGGAGTCAAACCAGGGACCTCTCTCTTTGGAAGGACAATGCCCAACCAACTGAGCCACACTGGTCAGGGCTTCCTCAACCCCTTTTATCACAGCAGTGCTGTTCAAAACCTTAAAACAGTAGCTTCTTGCTTACGGGATAAAATCCAAACATCTTCCCACTCAGTGTTCCCACAATTCAGTCTTAGCCTCTTCGTCATCAAACTTACACTTTTCTCCTGGTTGTCTAGACATAACTTGTTCATTTTCTCCCCTTTTGCTGTTCTTGTTCCCTCAGCTTTGAAATCTCTCCACATATATCCATTTTAAGACCCAGTGCAGATGCTAAGTGATTGAAGAAACCTAACTGCTCTAGCTCTTTTTTTCTCCAAGCCTAATGTTGTGCCATTTGACCCTTCTACCTCTTAGTCATTTAAGGTGAAGCTGTAACATTTAAAACAATTTATGAGAAACTATTAATCCAGTGTTACTTTTACAGGCTTTATACATATTCTAATTATTCTGTTTGAAACTGCCTTTTTTAGCCTTACCTTCAATGCATGCAGCATAATCTGAGTATTCTGAAGAATAGCAAACCTTTACTCTTTCAGATGTTTATTTCTTATAAATGGTCAAAGTATAGTTGGGGCAAAGATTAATGAATAGAATGGGTTATGTGATTTCAATTTTGTTTAGTTTTACATTATACTTAATTTACAGAGTAGCTTTTTTTTTGTATATATTGTTTTTACCCAAATATAACTACTATCTCCAATTTCTGTGACCTCTGCTAGCACTGGCATATTTTAGTTGTTCAGTACATGTCTTTTGTTACTAGATTTTATATGTTTATGCCTACTGACCTATAAAACATCCTCCAAAATATTAACTTCAGTACCGTAGAGGCTTGGCATCCATGAATTCATCATTTAGTTTTGACAATTCTTTTTCACCATAGAGGTCAACATAATTTAGCTGGGGCACAAATGCCCCATGCCCTGGATGCTGATGTGTACATGCAAACTCACTTAGGAGTTGTGAGTCTGTCCTGGCCAGTTGGCTCAATTGGCTGGAGTGTTATCCCACACACCAAAGGGCTGTGGATTTGATTCCTAGTCTGGGCACATACATGGGTTGAAGGTTCAGTCCCCAGTCAGTGCTCATGCAGGAGGTAACCAGTCGATGTTTCTCTCATGTTGATGTTTCTCTTCCTTCCTCTCCCTCTAAAATCAATCAGAACATATCTTCAAGGATTAAAAAAAAAAAAGTGGTGAGTCTAACCGGTACCTAAACATCATCTCTAAACAGGGCTTTATTCTGTCTGTTGTATGGGAATGGATATGCTAGTGTGGGTGCCATTTGAAATTAGGGAATTCCCTGAAGTCTCAGGATATATTTCAGGATGTAAAAACTGTAATGCATTCAGTAAAATTAGTGTTTTTACATAAGATAAAAAGACCATTCTTTTACAGGGTCAGGTCTGTTCTTTCATTCTAGACAGGAAATGAGAATTGCTGCAGGGTTACATATGCATTTGATTTCATGTACATCTTTGACTTGTGTAGGTTTACAGTGATTATCCAAGTTTAATAAAATACATGACACACCTAATACAGAAACTAGCATGATTCAGGTCTTAAATAAATCGGTACAAATTACTGTTATGCTTTTCTTATATTCTAGACTGAGACGTGAGAAACAAGCCCGTATCCAAGCAAGGAAGAAAAATTTAGAGAAAAAGCAAGCAAAACTTCTTCAGGAAAAGTTTCCACATCTTCCTGAAGCCCAGAAGTCAAGTCTTGCCTAAGATGTCTGAACTCTTAATTTACCATTTTGTTTTTCTTAGATAACAATCTGTCTAGAAAAGTAACTATATGTTAAGTGACTTATAAAGAAATTGTTTTAGTCAAACAGCTGTTTTGAGTGTTAATATGACATGCTAATTTGGAAGTGGTCATGCTTTTAAAAATCAGGTATAAAATTTTATAAATTATGACATCTGAGCAGACTTCAGTATCACTTACATCTTAGAGTGGGAAAGTAATGTCAACGTCTACAGCAAAGGCAATTCCGGTTACATTTTAACTACTATTATTAATAGGATATTAAGGCAATGTGGATACTGCTGTTAATAAACAATGAGTATTTTAACTGAAAGTACTGATAAATACATTAAGTACTTAAAGTAACAAGTCAACACAACAGTCCAGAAATGTATTTCTGGAATGACTAATAATTTTTATTTAAATTTGCAAGCCTAAGGTAAAAAGCATAGGCAATAATTTTTATTCGTCAATAAAAACCAGTTCTACCAACCCATTGGTAATTAATATACTAAGCAGAATTCAAAAGCATTTGACTGAAAGCAAAATATTTAGAGAAAATAGACATTTATACAAAATTATAAAATGCTTGTAATAAGAATAAGTACATTTCAAGGAAAGCACAACTTAATTTATACAGCCAGTTAAAGTCTTAAAAAATTTAAGTGGAAATTGAAAAATGCAAAAATATATAAACATTCTACAAAAGATGGTCATTCTTTTCCTGAGTGTACTAAAGCTATGAAACGTAAGGTGACAGGAAGGTGGAGCAGTGGGAACACTTTTCAAGGGCATTTCCTTTCTACACACTGCTTCCCTCCTTCTTCATATTCTTGTTTGGAAATCCACATCTGTTGAAAGGTGCCCTATAAAATGGAAAGAAAAAATATTTATATCATTGTGCCTTTTTTATTAGAAAATACTTTAATATCTTTATTTTCAAAAAATATCTAATTTTTTGAAAACTCTTAAACCCCCTCCCCCTAAATAGTTCTCCATTCCTCTCTCCTCATTTCTGCCTCCCCTGGAATACGCTCAGCACTACAAGGGTGAGCAGGGCGAGGGTGTCTGGTCAGCGCTGTTCACCTATGCTTGCATGGCCAGTGGTGACCAGTGGTTCTTGAGCAGGTTACTCTGCATTTACTGACGTGGATAGATGGCATTTACTGTGTTTACTGTGTTCACTGTGTGGCCACTACGCAATGTACTGCTCTGATGTCCCTGCCATGTGATTTAGGGCACACGGGACATTTCTGTGGGTTCTCAGGTCTAGGAGCAGAACTGCCGTTTGTGGTGGATGTCCTACGTTAGTGGTACTGCCTGTGTATCCTTCCAAAGGACCTAGGCCAGCCTCATCAGTCATTAATTTGACTTGCATTAAATCCATAAATGTTTTGGGGGGCAACTGACATCTTTATACATTAGTGAGGTTTGCATTCTAAGTGTATCATTTATTTCCACATTTGGTTTTTTACAGAGTCTTCATGAAGTGTTACTTTAATCACCGAGGTCTTAGGTACATATTTGGATAGGTTTATTTCTAGTAGTTTATTAATGCCTGACATTTTGGATGGTAGTTTAAAATCTGCCCTGTTTACTGGATTCCGTTGACACATAGTTATCAATTGATTCTATTTATTTTTAAGACCTGGCTCAAACTTAAAATTCTAGTAACTTTTCTAGACATTGTTTTGGGTTTGATAATATGCAAATTAATAAAGCACATGGTTATCATGTAAAAAAAACAAAGGGCTCATGAGAACTAGGATAAAGTTCTGCAAGGACACAAACAATAGTAACAACCACTTTTCCAAATTAACATAGAAAGTGAAAAGAGAAAAGAGACCAAAGGAGCAAGGAACCTGGGCCATATTAATAATAAAAAATGTAAGCAGGATAAGAAACCCATTCCATATGATTAACTAGTCAAGTGGATTCATACATGAATATATCTATGATCTGGTAAAAGATTGGAAACAAATACATGGACAGTTCCATATATTTAATTGCTTAAAAATGAGTAGTGTAAGTATCTGCCCTATGAACCAATTCCTGACTTCCTCTACCTCACCAACAGACCGGGGAGCATCCAGAACCTGAGCAGGAATGATTTCATTTTAAATATGCTGCACCTAAGCCCTAAACAGTGCCAATGAGCATATTTGAACTGGCGTGAATAAGGTAACAGATTCCCACCTGTCTGAGAGTGGAAACTTGAAGTTAGGCTGACAAATGTCCACTAGTAAGACAACAAAGCATTTTGTTATGTTAGAACATGTAAAACTGGTACTTTAGATCCTCCACTCATTTGATAGCTATTCAATGCAAAGGTAACTGGTGCGCTGGAATTATTTTTTGTCTTTTTACTAAATGTATTTTCAGTGGTATATTTAGGTAAAAATTATTCAATAAGAATTACAAATTATTTTTCAAAGTACTTTCTCCACTCACCAGAGAAGCTAGAATGGAGCCACCGATCCATGAACTGAACCTCCGTTCTACTGTTGTATTGTTTGCAATCAATTTCAACCGCATACTCTAAAATCCAGAGGGAACAATTAGTATTACTAGTATGATCAATTACAACAGATAACTCACACTAGGAAATTCCGTTTTGAGGACTTCTTAATGACTGGTTAAAACACTGATTACACATAATTATTTTGCAAAAGCTAGGTTTATAGCAGGCACAGACTGAAGTATCACATAGAAAGGTTTTTTTGAAGTGCTTTAACTATGGCTTTTAATGTGTAAAATTTAATAAGAAAATATACAAACCTTAGGAAACTGCACAGTATAGAGTATGGCATTTACCTTCTATGTCCTACAGCCAACCACAAACATAATGAACGCTTACTGTAGGGACGGTGCTGTGCTTCCTATCTTACCTCGTTTCTTCCAACAATTATCCCAACCCGCAGCCCCCTTCAGTCGTCCTCAATTTCCTCTCTACTACTTTTTTAGGCTTCATGCTATCCTATCCCTCCTATCATAGCTCACCCGTCCACACCCCACATCATCTACCACTTCCCACTTAGAAAACAAAGTGCAGACATCAGATCTCAGGTTAAGTTTTTTATTCATACTACTTTCCTTCCTAATTAGAATGTCTGTTTTGAGCTCATACTCTGTTGATACACACTGTTTTTGGCCTTGGTGCTATCCCTCTCACTTCTTGAACGAAGTTTTACCCCAACCTAGGAATTTGCTTCTGGGGACAGTTCTCAAAATGTTGATATAAACTTCCTTTATTCTAAATATGAACACATCCCGTGAGTCTTTTTTCACTGTGAAATAAATGTGTGGCATGGGGGGACTCTGTCATATGACTGGGGGACAGGTGGTGGGAACAGGAGGGATGAACGTGGTTTTCGTAGATAAGGAATTGGTTGGTATCTATTACAACGGTATTTTTCCCGTTATTTCATTAACTTTTAATTGCCTAATGAAAAGGATAATATCTAATGGGTATTAACAGCCCATGTCTATATTCACTATTCTGGAACTTTCTAAGAAATCTAATGATTAGCACTATAATTAAGGTATATTACAGATAAGACTACCTCCAAGAACTGTGTAAATGTAAGGCAAGAGTCAATCTTGTGCCTATTATCAATATTTAACACAATTACAAAAATATGGCATATGGAAAACATTCCTTTATATGAGAAACCAAAAAACTATCAAATAAACAATACTGTTAGGGTCTTACATAATGCCTAGCAAGTTTTTAAAAATAACATTAGTTTAGAATGCCTTACAAGAAACTACATGATTGAACTTTTAAAATCTAAAGCTTTATGACTACTACTCTGTTATCAATGTAGCATGTAAACAACCCTCTCCCCAAACCAGGTTCTTCTATCCTTTTAAAAGTTATCCCAGCCCTGGCTGATGTGGCTCAGTGGACTGAGCGTCAGCCTGCAAACCAAAAGGTTGCTAGTTCGATTCTCAGTCTAGGGCACATGCCTGGATTGCAGGCCAGGGCCAGGTCCCCAGTGCAGGGTGCACAGGAGCAACCACACGTTGCTGTTTCTCTCCCTCTCTTTTTCCCTCCATTCCCTATCTAAAAATAAATAAATAAAAATTTTTAAAAAAATTATCCCAATTCACACATGATCTTTTGAAAACAAACACCAGAATTCTTTGGTCCTCTGCCAAATATAATCCTTTAAATTTACTATTAATAAGCAACATACATGGCACATATCTGTGAGTTGTACTGTGTCCCCTGAAAGAGATATATTGAAGCTCTAATACTTGGTACCAGTGAATGAGATCTAATTTAGGTATAGTGTCTTCGCAGATGTAATTAAGAATAATTAAGATGCAGTCATACTGGAGGAAAATGCACCCTTAATCCGGTAAGAAAAAACAGACCCACAAGCGGGGGAACCCTGTGTGACATCCGAGATGGAGACTGAAGTGTAGCTGCAATCCAGGAAACACCAAGGATCAGTGACAAACCCTCGGTGCTAGGAAGAGGGAAGGAAGGAGTCTTTTCTGTAGTTTTCAGAGAAAGCGTGGCTCTGCTAGTATGAAATGTCAGACTTCTAGCTTCCAGAACTAAGAACACATTACTGTTGTTTTAAGCCACCCACCTGGTGGTACTTTGCTACGGCAGACCGAGGAACTAATACACCATCCACCTAACCAGTCACATCGCTCTCCCCACCTCTGCACGGAAGGCAAGCCAACTACTTTGAGATACTGGAATAGATCATCTTCCCTTCTTCCTGGGCGCATGGTTTTCCCTCCGCCTAGCTGTCCCTTCGTAAATTACCAGTCACTTAACTCCCATTCAAAAGCTGCTTCCCCAGGCTTTCCTCTGACACTCCTAGGGAGTTCAGTGCTGGCTCCTCAGTGTTCCCAAGAGCGCGTGGCTCATAAGGCACTGAACCACTGAGCTCATCACAGTCCTCAATTCTACCATGTCTATTCATTCTGACAGACTGAGCACTTGGTGGGCAGGGACTACAGTTTACATGCGCAGTGCCTGGCACACTATAGGCACTTAAGTTTAGAATCAATGAATAAAATGAGATTCAAATAGTGCATGTCATCTAGGAAAACTTGGTTAATAATGGAGGTTACCTTTATTGGAGTAATACTGTTCCAGGCGCACACACAATAGCATCAATTTATTGAAAAACAAACCTTATGTATAA